ATCAAATGTATTTCTAAACATTCTCTGATTAGAATTCTAAAACGGGAGAATCGACTGCACTTGTTCAGGCGTCTTGAACAGTTAAGCAGTAAGCAAATCAAATGTGATGGAGCCATTGAATTTCTTCGCCTTTGCCAGAATGTAGATCTTACACCAACCTTCGCCAAAGTCGACCAGACGAAGTCGAAGAACTGGCAACAATCATCGAAAGCGTTCTCAACAAATGTCATCGCCGAGGAGCTAAGATCAAAAGTGAAACAGAATGCTATGTTAAAGATGGAAATGAACACCATCTATGACGAAATCCGCCAACAATGTTCACCGCTACAGTACATGCTTACCTTACGCGTTATGACAGATCTTCGAAAGAAACTTTACGAAGACGTAATGACCAACCACACGAGCAAGATTGCAAGGTTAATTAACAAGGAATTTGACGTTGACGAACACATTACAAACATCTCATCGTACCGACTGTCATTCTTTGAAAAGTTAGTTCTCTGCCGTGGTTTGAAATTCTCCATCGCTCAACCTGTGCCAGCTCGTGATGTAAAAGCCAGCTTTGAAAAAGCTTACTGGCGACTTGAACCCACATTACCGGAGGACCAAAAAGAATTAGCCGCCGCGACTCTTCGCTCGATTGCCCTGAATTATATTCAAAGGAGAGGCCCAAGACCACCCAAAGCACTGCAACAAGCCATAAATCAACTTAGACGAAGGGAAGACATTGTCATTACAAAACCCGACAAAGGATCTGGCGTAGTAGTAATGGACAAGACAGAGTACATCCGTCTACTAAGTGATGCTTCCATCAAAGACACAACGAAGTTCACCCCTATCAACACAGAAAGACCAAAAACACGCGGCCGGCCTCCTAAACACTACCATCCCTTACTACAAAAAGAAAAACAGCTGGAGTCCGTCGTCAGAAAAATCCTGCCAAAGCCGATTGCTGACACAGTTTGTCGCAAAGGTTCCCGGCTTGCTCACCTTTATGGTCTTCCAAAGACTCACAAACAGCAACTATCAATGCGACCGATACTATCATCGACTGGGACCTACAACTTCGCCCTGGCCAAGTGGCTTGAAGAGAAGCTTAAGCCCCTTTCATTAAATCAGCACACTATCTGCGATATCTTCTCCTTCGCCGAAGTGATAAGGGAAACACCACTCAACCCGAATGACATTCTCGTGTCGTATGACGTATGTGCTTTATTTACCAACGTGCCACTCGACGAGACTATTGAGATCATCGCTGAAAAAGCCTTTAAAAACAACTGGTTTAATGAAACGCATGGTCTCAACCTCACAAAGACAGGTCTTACCGAACTTTTAAGAATAGCAACCAAAGATCAGCTATTTCAGTTCGACGGTCAACTTTATGAGCAGGTGGACGGTGTGGCCATGGGCTCGCCCCTGGGACCCCTTATGGCAAACGTTTTCCTGTGCTCCATTGAAGAACAACTGGATCGCAACAACAAGTTACCAAGTTTCTACAAAAGGTACGTCGATGACACATTAGCCACGATGCCAAATATTCAAGCCGCAACAGCTTTCCTTTCAACATTGAACGAATGCCATCCTGCCATACAGTTCACAATGGAAATTGCTGAAAACAACAAGCTTCCATTCCTCGGTATGATGATTGAGAAAAACGGTTGCCACCTGACAACAAGCGTATATCATAAACCAACTGATACAGGACTGCTCTTACATTACCAGAGCCATGTCGATCAGCGTTACAAAAGATCTCTGCTGAATACAATGCTGAACCGAGCTTACCGCCTGTCATCAACGAAAGAATCTTTTACGAAGGAATGCCAGCATCTCAAGCGGATGTTTACTAAGCTTAAGTACCCAGTGAAACTCATCAACTCAGCTATCGCCTGGTACACGAGTTCTACGATCCAAAGCCGTCACGAAACCCCAACTGAACTTGACGCGGCTACACAAAAACCTGTCAGAATAACTTTACCATTTAAAGACCAAAAATCGGCCGACACAGTAAGACATCAGCTGAAAGATCTTGGCCGGAAAATCGGAACTGACCTACAACCAGTTTTCACGAGTCGTAAGATCGAGGGAAAGCTCAAGATACAAGAAGAGAAGCCCGCTTTAATTAACCACCAATGCGTTGTTTACACTTTTAAATGTGATTCGTGCGATGCGGATTATATCGGTTATACCACACGCCATCTTCATCAACGCATAGAAGAACATAAAGCCTCTGTCATTGGCAAGCATCTGAGGGAGGCCCACGGTGTAGCGTCCGCTGGCCTGGGGAAAATGTTTTCCGTTCTCAAGAAATGCCGCGGGAAAATGGACTGCCTAATCCACGAAATGTTATTCATTCGCGAACAATAACAGCAATTTGTATCAGAATATGTGTATTCACAAGGCTTACATCCAAACAAAGCAGTAGGAGGTACCACACCATTTGTTTGCCCTTCCTGAAGTGTTGTACTATTGCCTCATTTAATCACTGTGATTGACTTCCCCCATTTGTTGGTTGTAAAACTTTCCTATTGGGAGAGAGGGAACTTCGATATAGGTTCCATCCTTTTGCTTTCTTCTTATGGTTTGTTACACATTGCATCACTTAGGGTACTAAAGAAAGACATGGGTTTTTTGTCCTTCAACACAGATACACTGTTTCTTTCAAACAACAGACTCAGCAAAACAAATCACTTCCACTTTTGGCTTGTTGGCTTTTAAGTCTGCTGGAAAGTCGGTTCTGTTTGCACATGTTGTTCCACAAAGATACAGTTCATCTGAAAGCAAATCTTCAGCCAGTCAAACAGAAGGGAAAAAGTTATCATGAAAGGTGTGATAATTTTTCCTCTTTTGATTGCTCACAAGGTTGGAAACAACACAATGTCTATGAGGATGTTTGGGCTGGCCACCATCTTTTTTGCCAATGTAAACTTGCATGGCACTAACAAAACCATTTGTTGCATGGGCACAGTCCAATACTTAAATTCCTCGTTTCACAGGCTTCAGGGGCATGTACTGTCTGAGGCCATGTATCACGGAGAGTGACAAAATATAAGTTACTAGAAATTTCTAGAATGCCTTGTCATGCTGACTTGCTCATAAGAACTTCCTACGGAACCTTCATGAACATTCTTTTTGTTACTATGTAGTACTACTCTCATCTGCATGCTTGATGTAAATTAGAAATGGTTTGCTTGTTGGTCACCTTAAAAGTTCTTTGCCTTTGTGTCGTACTGTTACCCCAGAGTAACAGTACAATACAGTACGGTAGCTTATTTACCCTCTAAAAGAGTGCTGAGTTACTTAGCAATTAGTGAAGTTGAAAGTTAATGACAATAACTATCAATAAAGAACAGACTAAAATACATGTAAAACTGTATCTAGCTACAACAAAATTTAAAAAGGTACTATGATGTAAACTAGTGAAAACTGAAATGTGCGAGGAAAAACATGGCAGTCTGTGATGAATTTTTTTGCAGCCAGCAGCTTCATAATAAAAGTGTAATACTGTGGAAGCCACAACACAGCAAATTACTTTCACACAATGATGTTTCTGCTTTGGGCTCTGAACCCAAACCAAGGAATTGATAAACTCAGTTTGGTTCTGTGTAGCACCACACTGTTCCAAGAGCTTTGTTTCACTTATTGTCATGAAAGTGGAATGCAATGATTCCAGAAAAACCTTGGGCAGGCTGTCATCCACTTTATGGGTCAATATTCCTTTTGCTAGGTCTTGTTGCCACTTACACTGGGATTTCCTGTCAGGAGGACAACATCTGTGTTGCTTTGCTGGATCTTCTGCTTGAACAGTGGTGTATGATGGTGATAATGTTCTTTTTCATGTGTAAACAGCTATGTTAACCTCCCTGTCTGATAGATCTGGGCTGACAGAATGTAATGGCTAGACTATGGTATCTCTGAATCTGTCTCGGGCCTAGGGCCTTTCTGCACCATCAGACAAAACTAGAATTGTCCTAACAAAATCATCAGACAAGTTTGTTGTGACAAATTTTGGCTTTGTTGCATACGCGCTAAAATTTTCAAAGTTATCAAAGCTGTCAAATAACACCAATATTGATTCAAGTTGGATTTAATTGATTCAATTCAGCTTTTCCTTTCCCTTTGCTTTGAATGAGAAGTTGTGGATCTTGTACTACCTCTACTGCTTCATTGTTGGACTGATAAAGTGGTGAATGGAAAATCATTCCACCATTGTAACTTGCTCCAACTGCATGCAAATTGTTTCTTTGGTCATAAGGTGGACATTCTAGTACCTGATCTGCTCATAAGACTTGCCATTATAATTTGTTATAAACCCTTGCTTCAAGGAAATCACTGTACAGTAAAAGCTGTGAACGCAAAAAGTAGAAAATAAGTAAATGAATAACGTCACTAAAATTAGAGCAAACATTGCCAAACAATAAATCAACAATTATGTATTTTGATTCTTAAACATATAGTCAAACAGAAACTATTTAACAAAGTTGAAACATTTGGCATAAAACCTACTACCATTGAAGTTAACCGCATGGTACACATAACTTATCAAGTACTGTTATGGATCTCACCTTCCTCGCACACATGTGCACTGGAGAGAGTTAAGAAAAACTTGATTTAATCTCTTAGCCTATATCCTTGTCCTCTAAAATCACTTTCTTTATATCAGCTCTCTGATGAAATCAGTTCTGATCTAGACATGCTGATTTGTTGATGGATGTCAGGTTCAAAGAAGGATGACCTTCTTTTTGTACCAGGTATTATATAATAATAACAATAACAACAATAATGATAGTAACAATAATCGTTATTTCTATTAGTTAACTAATAGTGCTTAACAAAGTTGCTAAAATATATGAAAATTACATTATAAGTTTAATATTTGTTCACATAGATGTAAATCTAAATATTTGGGCAATCAAGATCTAAAAGGAAATGCCCAAATAAACAGGTCAATCTGTACTATTAAAAGAACTTACCCATGCTGTAGTTTTTATTTTGTTTGGTGAATTGTTCCAGAGTGAGGAAACAGTGACTGGAAAAGTGTGCTTTCCATAGGACTGAGTGTTATCTATGGATTACTCTAAGTGCTTATAAAATGAACATTCTTCTTGTCCTTCCAAGCGGTGGCCACAATGCTGTCCTTTCGCCAATGAATGGATTCTCCTTGCTTCAAATGCTTCACAAGCATACTTGTTGCAGTGAGATCTGTCGGAAAATATTTTCTGCTTGCTCGTGCTGTTGCACAACAGTAAATTCCGTCTTTGAGGAGATCCTTAGCAAGCTTAATGGTTGAAAAGAAGTTGTTGAAGTAAACATGATGATTTTTCCCAACAAAGCTTCGCATTAGATTGTGAATGACATGATATCCAAGGTTTTGTTCAGCCACACCATCTTGCTTCTTGATAGATAGATTGATAGATAGATAGTTAGATAGATGGTATATTAAAACTGCATTGCAGCCAAAGGCTGAATTATGCAATTATTTACAAAAACTTCACAATACTTGAAAATTACAAATGAATCCTAGATAATAAATTGAAAACTGATTTTTAAGGTAATATTAAATTCTATATAACATATTCATATAAATAGGTTAAAATATAAAGCATGAATATAAGTGGGATAAAGCTACAGCCCAGATTGTTTCGACATCACATAACATATTACTTGTTATGTTCGTGCAAAGCTTTGGCATATAAAAAGGCACTGTCTTCTTAGGTTATAGCGTGAGTTGACATGGTCTGGTGGAAGGAGTGCCTTCAATTTATGGTTTGGATCACTGACAGTGTTATCAAAAAGCCTGCTATATAGTACATAATAATGCTCCAAAATCGGTGTTAACCCTACCTCTATAGCTGAGTTGCACTTTCCTGAGGTTATTATTGATAGTGCTCTTTTCTCGATCTGTACCAGCTCTCTCTCTTAGTACTGGGGGAGACGGTGAAAATAGACAGGTGCTGCATAATCAATAACAGATCTCATGCATGATACATAGAACAGTGCGAGATCTTGTTTTGGAACTCCCACTCTCTTTAACTGAGTTAGGAAGTAGAGTCTCTTGCTAGCTTTTTTGGTTCTCTCAGTTACATGGTCGTTCCATGTTAGATCTTTTGCTATTGTAAGGCCTAGTAGCTTTGTACTAGTGACTAACTCTACCTCCTTTCCTTCTATGATTATGGGATCAAAGACTCTGCTCTTTGCTCTTCCTTCTATGATGATGGGATCAAAGACTCTTTGCTCTAATTTAGACTTAGAAATTGCAAACATAACCACTCAACACCTCTGCACAAACCCACACTTTAATACCACACTTTACTGGCTTCGTTGGTAAATACTGTTTAAAACAAAACGACAAAAATTTTGAGTCTGTAAAACATGTTTCGACAGAAATTTCTGTCATCTTCGGTTAATTACTGTACAGAGTGTTGGAAGTTGAATTAAATAGTAAGTAGAACAATGCTAATTATGATAAATAGTGATAACAAGAAAAGGAGGTAAAGCATGAAAGTGCGAGAATTAAAAGGATAGTTTTAGATTTAATTTAATTTAGTTTAATTTAGTCCATTTTCACTGCATTAAGTTTTGCAGTGGGGAAGGATTAGGATGGAACATAAGAACCATTTGTGCTAGTCCACCCTCTCAGCCATCCCACCCCAGGGGAGGACATCCATCACACAGTAATCTTGTGTGTGGGAAATTAACGTCTCCTACTCCAACCCTGCAGGAGACGGGACCTCCATTTATTCGTCCCTATCCGAGAAGACTAGAATATCTAACCATTTCTTGATGTTCTAGAAAGGTAGCAAATTCTTCTCAATTATTTTAAGACCCTGAGTGTTGGT